AATAGAAAAGGATTAGAATAGAGTATAATAGAATTAGAATAGAAAAGGAATGGAAGTAATGGCWGCTTCAGCTGCTGGAAGGGCAGAATTCTTCCTGGCTGTGTGACTGAAACCTCAGCGTTTATCACAGGAATTCAAAGGACCTGACTCACCTTGGGCYGACTCCCAGAGATTTGCAGAGGAAACAGGAAGGGGTACAGCAGGAACCTCTCTTGTTTTTGCTGCAACACAAACTTCTCTGAGTCMCTCACCTTCCCAAAGCTCTGGCTTCTTGATGCTGGCAGACCCATGGAGTTTTCCTATTTCTCCAAACAGGAGGAATTTAACCAAGAACTGCAATTTCTTGTCAAGAAAAMTTTCTTTATTAATCCAAGAGAAACAAAGCATTTTATTCCTCGTGTAAGGAAAGATACATTTTTCCCTCCAAATAAGTTTTATTTGCAGGGGCAGCAGAACATGACCATCACTCTGGGTAGGCTTTCCAGCTCCAGTGTTACTTGGGCCCCCCTGGGATCAGTAATTCTGTCTGAAATCTTTGGGCTTGGCTTGTGAAACCCTCTGGAGAATATGTCCAGAGTTATTTTGATCTAAATGCCTTTTTACTTTCTTTATTTAAGCATTCTCCAGTCTGATTTGAATGAAGTACCCCAAAGTAAAGGCCTTCTCCAGCRTTCCCGTCCACAGGGCTGGACAAGATGCCAAAGCAGGTAAAAAGAAAACCAGGAATTTTGTGTGCTAATTAAATTTTACTGCCRGGAGAGAATTCCTGGCTTATTTCCATGCAGTCAAGATTAGGTAACTCCTAATGAATATTCACCCCTGYTTCATGAATTGTCTGGACCTATTTGCTGCAGGTTTGAGCTGTGTTAGTGACACCAGGTAGTGATTTTTGTTGTGCCCTGGGCTCTAGCAGGGCAGGTGTTAATGAAGGCAGCGAGCACATCCTAAAGGTGTTTGTTCAGGAGGATGAATGGACACGAGAGTTGTGATTTATTTTCAAATATTYTTTTACTTCACTGAGCAGGGCAGCAGAACCAAGCCCTTCCTCGGGCCTTGCAGTGGATTTAACTTGCCTGGTGCCAGTTGGGGGACACGGGAKGAAAAGGGAACTGGCAGGAACTCCTCAGGTCCATGGAGTGTTTCCTAATTGTGCTGTCTGTTCTCTGACAGCAGCAAGCTGCTTAGTGCTCATTCAGAGGAGAATAACAGAAATCACTTGGGTGGCAATGCTTTACTGCATTGCTAAGCTTTTTTTTCCTCCTTACTRTGTAAAATTCTGTACTACTGGAAATGAACTACTTATGCTGTCTGCAGAAGATAATGATGCTCCTAAATGAGCAAATTATGGTAGCTTTTCTCCTTTTTTTTTTTTTAGGAATGTGCTAATGGGGGTTTGCAGTGTGTTTCCCCTTTATCGATGAGCTCAGCTCATGTAGTGGGATGCTGCTAACTAAATTTAGCATTTTTTGTAGAAACAAGATGATGCTGTTAACTTGGTTAATGTGGTACAGGTGAGAAGGGACAATTTGGACAACTTTCTGTTCAAGAGGAGAACAAAAGGAATATTTAGAATGCAAAGATCTGGACTGGCATCTTTTCCATTGTTCGTTTTCTTTTCTAGCCTCTCCTGTCCCCAGAAACAGCAAACAGGACCTGGAATCTCTCTTCTGGCTGGTTTTCCATTACATACAACAAATGTGTCCTTCCAAATAGTGCTGTCAAGGACACAGGAGCCCAGAGGCTGAGATTTGAATACTTTAGGTGATTCTGAGGGGGCAAAGCTCCAGCTAATGCAGGCCAGCTCTTCCCCCAGCACCATTTCTCCACCCTGGCTGTGATGGGTGCACTCTGCAGCTTTCACTCTGAGAATGGAAATCTGCATTTTTGTTGGTCAAAAGTGGCTTCCAGCTGTCCCTGAGCCTGCAGCCAGCCCTCCCTGCTTCCCTGAGCCCGTGGCAGGGCTTGGATTGAGTGCATGACATGCACAGGCTTAGGAAGGAGCCAGTTCCAARAGCGTGGTGTGAGTGTGTGTGTGCTGAGCTGCAGTGGGAGCCCACAGCCACGTTCTCTGAGTGCCTTTGCTCACAGCCAGAGCACTTTTCTAACTTCAGAACAGGTGGGAGGAAGAGYAGCTCAAACATCCTGAGGTCTGGCTGCTGCTGAGGCTGAGCTTTGGGGACATGGAGGCAGCAAAAGAGCTAAAGCAGGGGATGAGATCAAAGTCCAGCTTTTCACCTTTCACTGGTGCTGATCTGCCTTCCCTTCCAGGAAAATGGCCAAAGGGAAGATTCTCTCATCCAGAATGACCTCAGTGAATCATTTGAAGAAGAAGTTAGAGCCTTCCTCGGTGATGAAGAGAAGCTGCATCTTTTTGATGACCTCACCAAAGTGAATCCGGTGACAACCATGACAGGTGAGCAGCCAGGGGGTGTTTGCTGAGGGATCCCTTTCCCTGCTGGCACTGACACATGAGTTATGTATGGACCTGCATCACTCTAAATCACCCCATTCTCTGTTAAACCCAATGGGTAACAAAGCTGCAGACTTTTGTTACCACCAGGCACGGGAGGAGTCAAATGCATTTTGCAAAAGATGCTGACAGGAGGTGTTGCCTTTCAGTTCTGAAGTGTCTTCAAGCAAGATACAGAGCCARCCTGTTCTACACAAATGCTGGCTGCAGCCTGGTGGCTTTAAATCCATTCCAGCCCATCTCCTGCCTCTACTCACCTGAGCTCATGAGGGAGTACCACGTTGCACTTTGTCCTCAGGTAACCCTTGTGTTTAGAATAACTGCCCTTCTGCAGAGCCCTGGTGTCAAACTGCTCCAAATTCATATCAGCAAAATACTCCTAAAGGATAAAACCCATTTCTGGTGAAATATTAGTTCTGTAAAAAGCAGTGTAAATGTGAGATGCTGTCGCTGCTGGCCAAACAGCAACATAAAATAATAGATATAAAAACACACAAAAGTGGGTGAAAAAAATAGAGAGAAAGAAGGAAGTTTATTGTGGGACAAGATTTTTTTTATTCACTTTAACAACCAGAGTATCAAACATATATTATTTTAAGAGATAGCTGTTTAATTAGTAATTAAAACATAATTAGTGAGTTTGTAAAAGCTACAGTATTAATAATGTTTATAATTTCTAACCACCTGCATTATCAATTTTACATTCTAATCTCTTTTTCTCAACAATAATCAAAAATATAACATTTCTCCTCTATATAAATTATTAATACTCCCTTTCTCTTCTCAAAACTCAGTCACACACAATAATTAACTAAATTTCAAAATCAAAATTTATAAAGCCATTTTTTCCCTCCACAAGATGCTCCTTGCTATCCATTGCTGTTGAACTGTGTGGTTACAGTTCCCTTAAATGTGAATATTCTCTTCCACTGCCAGGATTTAAAACCTCACATCTTTGCAGTGGCTGAGCAAACCTACAGAAATGTCCAAAAGCAGATGGACCCTGTGAACCAGTCCATCATTGTGAGTGGAGAAAGCGGCGCTGGGAAGGTAAGGAAATTTTTTTTTTTGTGATACTTCTCTCAAGTTTTGAGCTCTGCCAACGATTTGTAGTGCAGTGAATGAGCAAAGATGAATTAAAAACCCCTGTGACAGAGCACGTAGCCAATCTGCCCAGCATGGCTCTCTTGAAATGTGTGTGAAGCRTTAAGTGATTGCTGCAGTTAAACACACTCTGCTTAATATAGCAGCTCTTCAGGTGACAGCTGTCATTTCTGGAGGGCTGGCTTTGAATCATTCA